GTCTGTGTGTGTGTGTGTGTGTGTGCGTCTGTGTGTGTGTATACGTGTACATGCATCAGCCACAAGTACGTGCATGAGTGGTGACAGCAAGCAGTTGCCAATTAGTGGTTATACTAATACTTCTCCCCCACTGTACTCCGGCTGCGTTGCAGTTCTGCAGACTCCCAGACAGCTCATTAGACACTTTGCTTAACGAGCCCTTGTCACCAATCCTTCTTAAAAAAAAAAAAAAAAAACAAAGAACAAATGAGGTCTCTGGTGTGGTGGAGCAGAGCTGAAATCCAGATTGGATATTAAACATCCGTATCATAAATCTTGTAAAGTTACAATAATTTGCAATTCAATCCCTCATCAGTGGTGATATTAGCCCAATTTATTATCTCGGGCGGCGTCCCGGACGCCTGGGGTCCTGCAGATAAGGCTTTATGAGGAGAGGGATTGATTTTCATTAACTGATTGTAATAAAGAGGAAGGAGAGTCTTCCCAGCTCTGGCCAGCAGCCTCTGCCTCTCTAATTGGTTCACTTTCATGAGCTGCTGAATTTCCAGCTTTTTTCACTGGCCGGCCTTATCACTGTATTTTCCTTATCTTTGCTATTATTAAAACTCGCATAAACGGCTAGACACACACATTTTAATAAATATTGTGTTTGTAATAAGGAATTCTGTTTTCGCCATTTTTGCACTGAAGACGCAGGTCTCTCTGTAAGTGTTTCCTGTGTGGTTGCGTGGCGCAGTTGTGTAAATATGTATGTCTGCATGTAAACTGGCAAGACACGCTTCCGCATTACACACGTCGACGTGGGGGGTGGGGTTGTTAAGCTCTGGGGGCCTGATTCCCGCCTCTGGTGTGGGCGACGGCACAGGAGACAAGAGATCTGCCGGTCCCTGAAGCAAATGGCCGACTCCTCGATTCCTGAGACGCATTTAGCTGCTGAGATTTTCAGGGCTGGGAAGAACAAGGCTTGCCGGTCGCTAACATAATACAAAGCAATGTGTTTGTTCTTGGAGGCTTTTCCTTTATCTAACTGAACAAATCTTATAGGTCATGAACTGTTTAATGTGAAATAAGTCCGTCATCCCCAACCTGTTTCATCTTAAGGGATTCACAGAGGTTTTGTGATTGCTCATCATTTTTACAGTGTATTTTATTTCATTAAGTTTCTTAGTAACACTTTACTTGAGGAGACATAAATGGTAGCACAGTACGGTTTCTTATTAACTAAATAGTAACTCTAATGCTGTTCAAGTACAAATTCTGATCGAATATAGTTTGTGGTTAATTAATACATTAAGTAAGAGTTAGTTCATGATTAACTAAGAATATAAGTGTATTTGTCCCCCCTCAAGTAAAGTATTTGAATTGTTTGTCCCTGCATTGGCTGAGCTCTGCACACGTGCGAGCACACACACACACACACACACACACACACACACACACACACAGTGCTCCCAGAAAGTCTTGGGACGCGTGCTTAATTCTGTAAAAATGTTGCAAATTTATTTGTCTCATAACAAAAGTCCATTGACAAGCAATGTTTAACATACCTGCACATATCTTCAGCGCAGACATTTCCTTTTTAAGTTTCTGAACTTTTTGACTGATTCCTTCAGTCCTGTTCCTGCCATTTTGCTATGGACTTCAATTGTAGTCTGTGGCTCCCAAATGGATATTAAACACAAATCTGTGGTCTTTTATGGTATTGCAAAGGTGTCACAAAATAAAAAAAACACCCAATTAGACTGCTTGTCAATGCTTTTTAAGACACCTGTCTTAGAACTATATTTTAGATTTAAATTTATTAGTACTTGAAATGTTTTACTTAAAACTACTAGTTTTTTTGTAATGTGACATATATTTTTTGTAAACAAATTAATGTTAATGTTTCCATATATATCATACAAATTATATATATATATATATATATATATAGAAAGAGAGAGAGAGAGAGAGAGAGAGAGAGAGAGGGGGAGAGAGAGAGAGTTTGTATCATAGGAATATGTAAGGGCAGGGATGCATCCCTTGTCGCATGAGTTTTAGTCTCTCATTTCCCATACCATTTAAATCTTTATTGTAAAATCGAAGAGAAAAGACTAAGAAAACAGCTCCTTTTATACATCTCTTTAAACCAGAAATAATCAAGTAATGCAGATCAGAAATAAACAAGTAACAGAAAAAAAAAACATTTAAATAAATAGGTAATATAAATAGTCATCAATAAGTTAAACCATATTAATATTAAATTGTCAAAGCAGCAAGAAGCAGAGACATTTGAAAAAGGGAAAATGGTTTTTCAGGCTGTTACTGAACCTTAGGGTAAAAAATGATGCTCCTCTTTCTGAAGTCTGCTGTGCTGTGTAGAGTTACTCTCAAAATGTTAATAACCTGGAAACCTAGTTTTTGCAACAACACTGAAATATCCTGTCATTCCATCTGACATCTGATTTCTGTTTTTTTTTTTTTTTTTTTTGTGCTGAGAAACCAGTTGAACATGATCTGCAAAAAGCAGCCGGAGCTGGAGTCATGAATCAGCGCCCATAACAAACATTCTGTGCTAACACATTCCCCTAAGCATTTCATAACAGGCTCCCATACATGTTTCATTGCATTCAAGCCATATTTGGAGATTCCCATTACCAGTATTCCCAGTATAACAGCTGGTGAACCTCCATGCTCCTGCCCGGGGATCGAGTGTGCGTCATGAACGGAAATGAAAAATGATGCAAATAAAGATAGCTAATTATAGCTTGAAAATAAATAAATATTTTTTAAAAACATGATTCCACAAACAAGCACAAAATGCAAAATGTACATTACTGGCCACTATGTCAACAGAGCTAGTTAAAAACTGCCGATTGATGTCTAATTCACTGACCAGCTCATTCTGGTGAATAGCTCACCTCATAACATGAGAACTTACAGCTGTTAGCTAGATAACCCAATGCGAACCATCTTTGAGCAAATAGGTTGTTAGTTCCTCAGAAAATCAAATAAATACATAAAACTACATTTTAAATAAGTATATTGGCATGGGGGTTTTGTTTTTTAATCAGTGTTGTGCAATACAAAATTTAATTTTTACTTAAACTTTACGCAAATGTATCATGACAGGGAACTCTTAAATACATTTGCAATTTCCAATCCCTAATTTGATCTTGTCTTGATTATATGTGTCTTTTAGCTGTCAAGCAAACCATGGAAGAAAATAAGAGAAACTAGCAAAGAAGCAATCTGATATGTGCTTGTTCTTCACGGAAATAGTAATGTTACTCTCAGTCTAGTATGGGGAGTATGGTGGAGCATGAAAGTTACTTTTTTAAAGTTTTGTTTTCTATAAATCCTGCATATGTATATAACTGGCGCACATCCCAGCAACAAGAATTCTTAGAAACAGATCAAAAATGCAGTATAATTTGACTTAACCTTAAAAACAGATATGCAATAATTTGGATTTGTGGTTAGAGAGGATCCGCCACCCCCCCGCATGCTATTCACATTTTTGGCATGGTGTCCCTGCAGCCCCCACCCACGGTTTGGCAATGTGTCCCTGAAAGGCATCTAATGTTTAACACCGACAGCTGGCTGTGACTGGCACCTTTAAGGGGGTTAGTTTCCCCCTGGGGGGGGGGGTACGGGGCTGGGTACATGGTGTGGAAATGTGAATTGGTGTGGCAATAAAAACCAGCACTAAATCAGCCCAAAAATAAATACATATATACATACAAAGATTTACACGTGAATTCTACCTGAACGGAAAAAACCCACAATAGTAGCCAATGCAATGACACTACATTTAGGGTCTGCTGCCCTAAGCAGATTAACATGTATAAAATGAGTTGCTCCTTTTAATTGAGAGTGACTTTTAGCTTTGGTTGGAGTAGTTCCGAGCTTCTTAACCCAGTCCTTGGGGACCCCCAGACAGTCCACATTTTTGCTCCCTCCCAGCACACCTGACCCAAACAACCAAGAACCTAAGACCTGCTGGAGCTGGGAGGGAGCAGAAATGTGAACTGTTCGGGTACAGGTGCGAGAAGACGTTTTGAGCTCAGGGTATTGCAAATCGGAATGACCTTACGGAAGTTCTTTTGTATCATCGGTAGCTATCAACAGCTAACAACGCGGGGAAATAATCACAAAGTCGCCTCTGGCCTATTGCAAGATAGTTAATGCTCAGTATTTTTTCCATGAAACAGACAATAGGGGGCGCTGAAGCACCCTCAGCACCCCTGCTTCCAGCACTGCTGTGTCTGGGGCGGTCCCTGTGGACTGGGTTGTGAAACATTGGAATAGTTAAAAGCTCACGTTCTTTATGAGTGGGCTTTTTCACACCTGTGATACAGTTTACGACTTCTGCTCTCTCACGGTGAGAGGTTGTGCTGTCCATAACCTATTGGACCCTGTAAAACTGCTGGTCTCACCACTCTGCTCTACTGCTCTAGTCTATACCTTCAGGCCCTGCTTCAGCCATCTGCTGTTCACAGTTTCCTGGGGCTGATACCGATAGACAGACTCTGGGAAGTGCACCTCTCGCATGTCTATGCAGAAAGCCTGAGAGCAATGACCCGCCTTTATTTGGTCATCGATTGCTCATGCCTTGGCTCCCGCCAATGTGATCTGCAAGGCCGGGCCAGGTAGAGATACCCTGGTGCCATTGATTGCTCATGCCTTGGCCCTCACCAATGTGATCTGCAAGGCAGGGGCAGGTAGAGAAGACTTGGTGCCATGGAATGGAGACTGAGAGGGTGAACTGGGGACAGGGACGGCTGTGTGGCAGTTTTATAACCAGCCTCTAGGCAATTGGTGGGTTTTATTAAAAAGTAAAAGATTTTTAGTGCATCTAACTGCATCTGACTGCTCAACCTACATAGTACAGCATGTTTACATATGATAAGTTTTTTACTAACAGATCTTGCTGTTGTTGTTTTGCTTTTGGTGTATCTTCTATAAGTTGATGCCTCCTCGGATCATACACCACCCACCTAACGAAGGAATTCTCGGAGTATTACTGTATTTTTACAGCTGAAACGGAGCGGAATAACGAGCTCAATTTGAATCACAGCCTCATCAATCTGTCCCGCCACTGGTAATCCGGCTGCAGGTGCATTAGCCTTGACTGGTGAGGGCAGCCGTGGTTTATTAGTAGGACCCACACAGGCTAAAAGTCCAGAAACACTCTCATACAAAACACGTCACTGCGTGTAACTGCCAGTGTCACTGCGTGTAACTGCCAGCATGCTCTGCAGCAATGAGGCAAATCATTTTGTAAAAAGACCATTTGTAATAGAAGTGGCAGAGTATCTTACTACTGCATATGGATTTAGTCATCTAACCTTTTCCTCACACCAGTGGATTTATGCAGTTCAAAACTGGCCTGCCTTACAAATTATCTGAAGTATTTTAAAGTACCTAATCCATGTCAAAGCTTCAAAAGTTTGCTGGATGCAATCACACTATTGTGTGGATTAAATAGATGATCCCATGAATGAAGGGTGGAGAAAATTACTCTGGGAATGTATGCCCCCATGGATAGTGCGGGAATGTATCAATGGTTCAAGTGTAGAGGAATCTGATCAGGGAAGAGATGTTCCCATGTATGAAATGTGCAGGAAATGGAAATGGGAAAAGATGGTCTCATGGATGAAGTGTGGAGGAAAAAGATCTGGAAATGCATGCAATCAAGAATGATATGTAGAGGAAATGGATCTGGAATTGGATGAGATCGTGGATGAGATGAGGAGGAAATGGATCTGGAATTGGATGCGATTGTGGATGAGATGAGGAAGAAATGGATCAGGAATCGGATGTGATTGTGGATGAGATGAGGAGGAAATGGATCTGGATTTGGATGTGATTGTGGATGAGATGAGGANATGGATCTGGATTTGGATGCGATTGTGGATGAGATGAGGAGGATATGGATCTGGATTTGGATGCGATTGTGAATGAGATGAGGAGGATATGGATCTGGATTTGGATGTGATTGTGGATGAGATGAGGAGGATATGGATCTGGAATAGGATGCGATTGTGGATGAGATGAGGAGAATATGGATCTGGAATAGGATGCGATTGTGGATGAGATGAGGAGGATATGGATCTGGAATAGGATGCGATTGTGGATGAGATGAGGAGAATATGGATCTGGAATTGGATGCGATTGTGGATGAGATGAGGAGGATATGGATCTGGATTTGGATACGATTGTGGATGAGATCAGGAAATGGATCTGGATTTGGATGCGACTGTGGATGAGATGAGGAGGATATGGATCTGGAATAGGATGCGATTATGGATGAGATGAGGAGGATATGGAACTGGGAATGTACTGTATGCTCTAATGAATGGAGTGTGGTTGATTTTAGGCAAACAACCTGAACATACCCACATCAACCGATAATCAACATAGACTGCACCAATAAAACACCTTAAAATACTCTCCTATTATAATTTAAAATCTTTTTTTAGTTTTTTTTCCATTTTGTTTAACTTTTCGAAAACCTCCATAGGCTGGGTGAAGGAAATCAATGCTATTTCTTCCATTGCCCTGAAGCTAATATTTTGTCTTATTCTTGTTCGTTATACAGTATTATTAGTAGTAGTTTGTGGTATTTAGCATAATTAATGTGAATTATATACATTATGGTTTAGAACAATAAAAACTTTTGGTCCTTGGTCCCTAAGGGGGGGGGGGGGTGAGATTTTCAGTCCCACGGTTGCTAAGGAAACTGCCGTGACCTCAGAAAATCATAGTTCTGCACTTGCTGAACAAGAGCGAGAGAGAGACAGGAAGTCTGTCAGTGAGGCAGGAAGATCTCTCCTACTGAGTTTTCTTGATCTTCAAGTTTTAACCCTCATTTGTTCTGTAGACTAAAAGCCCAAAAACACCCTTTACTTTATACATGTGAAGTGTGTGTGTACTGTACGTGTGCATGTGTTTGTAAGTGTGTGTAGAAAAGTCTTTGTTGTAGTTGCTGTATTTATTGTTTTTTCACTCCTTGCTAAAAGTTTGCTTCTTTTCCGTGTCTCCATCATCCCCGACTGTTATTGATCCTGTTTTCCAGAAGGGGAACGTACTGTATCCCAGCCTCCCGTGCTGCAGTTTGTCCTTGAAAAGTAAACACTGATATGTCTCCGAAATCCCTTATGCAGGTTGTGTTTGTTTTTATGTTTAATATTTTGTTTATAGAAAAAAAAAAAGTTGAACTCCTTCGAGATTTCTTCTTGACTGCCTTCTTCTTAACACCTGCAACATATTACACAGTTTGTGAAATTCTTGGGACTACTGAAAGGATTAAATTTATGGAGAAACAGACACAAGGACATAGTGCACAGCACAAATTAATAACAATAACACCAGATTTTCACAGTTCACTGCTACAGTGCTACCTCAGATTCTTCCAGATATTGCATATTATTAAACATGTAATGAATAAAAGTGTAAAAAAACAAATCAACATACTGCCTGTGCGTTGAGTTACAGAAGTAGTAATAAATGCACTTGCAACCAGTTTGCTGATCTGCAGGGGAGCAGATTAAATGTTCACCCAGCTAACAGGCAACATTCCCAGAACTTTATTTGAAGGTCCTCTAAAAGTTGACAGATAATGTTGTATAATAATATTGCAACATTAATAGAACGTTATTTCCACGTTTTACATTTTAACAAGCAAGATAACATTATCACCTGAACATCCTGTTAAATTTTTTATTTTTATTTTTTTAAATAAAATAATATTATACGGATGTGCTACATGTGCATATTGCAAATGCACCATCCATCCTCAAACCCATGATCTTTGAGGCGCTAACTGCTGCTTTATTTGTTTCTACGTTATTATTCTTCGTTGTCGCAGTAGCTACAGTAGAGGGATTACATTACGGGAACATCTGGACGCTTTGAATGTTTCCGTACCTTAATCGTAACGTTCGGTAAATGTTCCTAGAATGAAAAATTGTTAGAGGGGCATGTCTGGGAAACAGACAGCATGACTAGCAGGAAAAGGCCCAGAGACTGACGGCTGCCGATCACCTGTGACTCACCTGTACTGTGGCAAGTCACGCTGGCAGTCTCACTCCTGTCAGTAAGGGCGGCTGGCATCCTTCGGTCTCTTCAGCTGCACTTTTAGCCGCTTCATGCCGATCTGGAAGCCGTTCATGGCCTGGATGGCGGCCTGGGCGCTGGCGGGGTTGTCAAAGCTGACGAAGCCTGCAGGGGGCGACGGAGAGTTACGCTGTCCTGTTGACGGCGCTATCAAGCTGTGTCCCACGTCACCTCTGAAACGACTGATCGTAAACGCCCCAGCAGCATCGACACTAGCTGGGCAGCACGGCACCCACGTGGACAGGCTTGAGCCTGACCTCTACAGACCCCGGGGAGACGAGGGCACCGAGCACCGCAGGTTCAAGGTCACAGCTAATACAAAAACTCTGATGGACGTTATTTGGGGGGGGGGCATGTGTCTGATGCAGTAAAAGTTTCTCTCAGACACGCAGGATGGTTCCCACATAGGCTTCCACTTACTGTGTCTATTTCATAAAATCGTTTGCCTTTTTAGCAAGACGCGGCAGCACTTACCAAAGCACTTGCTCTGGTTGGTGGCCCTGTCCATGAACACCTTGGAGGAGATGACCGTTCCAAAGGGCAGGAACGTCTGCATGAGCTCGTTGTCCCCAAACTCCTGTGGCAGGTGGTAGATGAACAGGTTACAGCCCTCAGGTCCTAAAACGGGAAACAGAGAGTCACACATTCATCTAGCATGTGATCTCACAGTCTTTCGGGCCCCCGGTTTCTCATCTGGGCCCAGTTAATTAAAGAAAAACCCGTCAGCGCCATCGTACTGATAGTCGTTACAGCGGCTGCTCGTCCTCATACTTTGAGAACATTATTATGGCCACCATGTGAAGGAATTCTGTTCATGTCTGTTCTGTATTAACAGTTTTCTATGAAATAATTATAAAATGAAAACGTAATTTCACAAGAAATGAAAATGTTATTTCACACAAAAATGACTGAAACGAATGAGACACAGTAAAATGAAGCACAGATTTTGATTGAAGACGTGAATTTAGGGTCAGTGTCATGGAGGGGCATTCGTGGGGTATGCCCCCCCCCCCCTCCCACAATGCCACCCACCAAGGACACAGACTTTTTTAAAAAAATATTTTATTTTTTGATAAAAGCATTCGTCTTACTAAAGATAAACACCGGTCTCCCCCGGGGGAATGCCTGCGGAACTTTTGCTTACCCGAAGCCCCCCAACCCCAAATCGACAACTTTTACCACCCCCACCCTTCACATGCTCCCCTCCAGATTTGTTCTGGCACCAGAAGACTGAAGGCTACAACCCCATTGCAATAAAACATGTAAAATGCTTTTGACTGTGAAACAATGCTGCATATTCAGGGATGGACATTAACTGGTACACAAGTACGCATTCACCTTTAAAAACGATACGTGCGGCAATCGATTGTAAAAACGCTGCTATGACAAGACAATACCTTGCATTTTAACCTGTAGACCGCAAATGAACTAGAGTTAGCATATAAAGATGAAATGCATTATATTTTGTTTCCATAGCAGCGCATTTACACTGTTACCACAATCGATTGTCCCACGTATCGTTTTTAAAGGTGACTGCGTACTTGTGTACCAGTTAATTTCCATCCCTGTGCATGTTCTTCAATTACGAAAACAGCAGCATAGCCAACAATGAATACAAACAGCAGTTTTGATTTAAAATGTATCATTCATTGATAGACTCCTTTAATAACCAAACATCCCATTGTCCAGTTCTGTGGGGCCAACGCTTCACACTCACCTTCCCTTTGCTGCTGCTGGATCACCTGAGCTGGTTGTGGCAGTGCTTGTCCAATAGGAGTCAGTGTAGTTGCTGGATAAATAGCTGCCAGAAAGAGAATATATTTGCTTTCAACTGAGATTCTTTTAGAAACGCAGCTGCAAATGATATTCACATCATCCTTACTGTGAAAACTTGATTTGTCAAGATAAAAACAAAGTTGATTGCATAATAGTCATAACTACATTTAAAATATGTTGCGACTGAAATAGAATGTGAAGTACTACAATGCAATAAGATTACGCTTATAAAGGGTTTATGAATGTTTTATAATTAAGTTATTAATTAGGTTGCAAGACCTTGTAATTCATTAATAGACAATTATAAACAAGTTATAACAGTTATATATATATATGAGTTCCTACCATATACTGTATAAGTGGCATAGGGAGCCTTAATGTGGTACCATATATAAATGTATATAACGCAGTGGAGTGTCTGGTGAGGGGTGCTATGCGGACAGGGCTTACCGGTGTACTGCTGCACTCCGGTGAAGGCCTGCTGCAGAGTGTCCGCAGCTGTGGGGCTCTGGCCCGAGTAGGGGGACAGGCCGTTAGCGTAGACGGCCTCCACCGCCGGGTGGCCGTTGGGCTGTGGGGGTAGGCCTGTGAAGCCATTCACGATGGGCGTGACGATGCTGGGCACGGCGGAGGTAGCGATGCTGGTTGGCGGGGAGCTGAGGCCTGGGAGGGCGGATCCGGGGGGAGAGCGTGAGCCGGCGGGCACAGCGGGCAAAGGCAGGGCTCTCTCTGGGGAGCTTTGTGAACGCTTCTTATTACCCTTATTACTGGCATATAAATGGGTTTAATATTCGGTAACACTTTCTACAAATATCTATAAGAATCTATGAACAGATTCATAACACATTCATAAAGCATTATAAACATCTATATTTATAAAAAGGCATAAAACATTACAGCCATGTTTATTATGCATTATGTAGCTTTATGAAGCGCTCATCTATAATGCACTGTTGATACCTTCATAATGCAGTACAAAGCATCCTTAATGCTTGTACGAACCATTATCATGCATTATGAAGGTATCTAGATGAGAGCTGCACTGGAGCTTATGCTTATGCAGTATTATAATCATATAATACTTTTATGCAGTATTATAATCCTATAATGTCTTATGACTGTCAACAGAAGATGCTATAGTGTTTTATTAATTCTTATAGCAAACATCATCATGCATTATGAAGGTATTTATAATGCATTATAGATGACAGTGTCAAGTGTTACCAAATATTCATGCAATTTTTTTGTTAATCTGACAACTCACTGTATAGCTTTAAAATACTGTATTCAGAGGAGACACAGAGCATTCAGTCAGACAGAAAGTCAATGTGACTCTCAGGGCGTATGTTCATGGTCAGTGGTTTGTGGCTGGGGTTAGGGTTAACCCAAGAGCAGCTTCAGTCTGCAGCAGAGATGCTACTGAACTGATAAAGGGGTTGCTATGGAGACTGCTGTGCATGCCGTCTCTGCAATCTGACAGCAGCAGGATAGTAAGTGGCTGCAGGCAAACAAAGACACACGGGCCACATAATGAGATGCACGCAGTCACTCACAAACACCCCTGATTGCCAGGTAAATGCATTGTTTTATGGTCCCCAAATTGTTAGACCCCTCCCCCCCACCACACACACACACACACACACACACGCAAGAGAGGGTGAAAACGAAATCAGTTTTGGGAGTTTTTGTGAGGCAGTCATGCAGCGAGAAGAGGAATGGGCTGTGAATTTGAGATGAGAGCAAATAGAGGAATAGCTGAATGAATACTATGAGCTGAAGCATTTCTGCAGTAGGAAAAGTACACAGCATTTCAGTAACTGCATAAACTGCATACAATAAAGAGATTGATAACATTTCAAACTAATTCTCCATATAATTTCCCATACAACATTCTTGGAGAAAACATATTCTAAACTTGGCATTAGGAATTAGCCTTTTGATGATCTGACCCTAATGGTCAGAGACTGGAACAGACAGTTTAATTAAGGTGCAGTGACATCAACCATGGTTAGTATTATAAAAGATACAAATGCATTAATTAGCTCTCCACGCACCAGTAGTTAATTTCACATTATTTTAATTGCCAATGTTTGCCAAACCAAATTCTCAGATTTTTGCCCTAATTAAGTAATGGAGGGCGTTTCTGAAAGGCATGAGAATGAGCTCAGAGAAAATGCATCTGGCAAATCAAAGGCAAAATGCAGTAACTATGCTGACAATGAAACTGAGAATAAGGGCTTCAAAGTCTGACCCTCCCCACATAGTGTACTTCAGTGTTTCCCAACCTGGTCCTCGGGGACCCCCAGACAATGCATGTTTTTGCTCCTTCCGAGCTGCCTGCCAGGCAGTCCACATTTTTGCTCCCTGCCAGACAGTGCATGTTTTTGCTCTTTCCGAGCTGCCTGCCAGGCAGTCCACATTTTTGCTCCCTGCCAGACAGTCCATGTTTTTGCTCCTTCCGAGCTGCCTGCCAGGCAGTCCACATTATTGCTCCCTGCCAGACAGTCCATGTTTTTGCTCCTTGTGAGCTGCCTGCCAAGCAGTCCATGTTTTTGTTCCTTCCGAGCTGCCTGCCTAGTAGTCCACATTTTTGCATCCTCCGAGCTGCCTGCCAAGCAGTCCACATTTTTGCATCCTCTGAGCTGCCTGCCAGGCAGTCCACATTTTTGCTCCCTGCCAGAGAGTCCATGTTTTGTCTCCCTCCCAGATCCAAAACATGGACCATCTGAAGGTCCTCAAGGACTGGGTTGGGAAACAGCAGTTTATTTATTCATAATTGAGCATACCGTAGTTGAACTAAGATATTTTGTTACAAGGCAGAACTGAGGGTAAGAGACCCAATGTCAGTCGTAACTCAGAAAAATAGTTTCGGTGTCTTTCCTTGGCAGGACAGAATTGTACACACACATTTCAGTCAGCACGAAGGAACAGCATGTTGTCATTCCTTAACATATACTGGTTGCACCACTAGAGATACCAGCCGTTAGCAAGTATTTAAGCAAATCAGTTTTAACTGCCTCATATCATAAGTTAAAAAACACTTCACATTCATTTATCCATCTGTCAACCACTTATACATTTACTGGATATTTCATGAACAGAGAATATAAATAACTTTTCAATCAATGCGCAATTACAGTTTTACAGCCTCGACCTGAGTTGAAGACACTGAGTCACTGAAATGACTCTCCGTTTGCGAAGTATTTATTGTGCTAATTATGCATTCAAATGAACAACGAGATGATGCATCCAAATGGGAAGTATTGTACCCACAGTAATCACTCGTTTGTGCTTCCATCAAAGTGTGAAATTCACATTAAATCAAAGATGTTCTCATTTATTTTTCTAAAACTAAATGTCATTATAAAACAATGGGAGCTGAGTTATACACACGCATGGCCTGTAATTTACATGTAGATTACCTGTAGGTTGCGTGCGATTGTTTATTGCACTTCTTGGTATAACTTCGAATGACTGCTTTACTAAATTTCGGAACTTTCTCCTGATTGTCAGAGAACCTTGGAGAAGTTTGTGTCAGGGCACGACAACCTCTCTCTGGACGTCAGCAAGACTATGGAGGTGTTCGCTGACTGCAGGAAGCCAGGGCTGTGTGTGTGTGTGTGTGTGTGTGTGTGTGTGTGTGTGTGTGAGCCAGGGACAGGTCGCAGTTCCACCTCCGTGGGCGGGGCAGCTGTAGAGACATTCAGCAGTTTTAAACTCCCGGGAGTCACCTTCACCCTGGACCTTAAGTGATCACACCAGGCTTCAGCTGCTGTCAGGAAGCTCCTTTGGTTCCTCTACTTCCTCAAGCATCTTTGGACGGCCTGGATGTCACCCACAGCCCTCACAGATGTCTACAGGTACACCACAGAATCCACCTCAGCAGCTGCATTATACCTTGGCATGGCAACCCGTCAGCACAGGGCATCGACGGCACATGGTCTGTGACATTCTCACCACACGGCGCCTGCTCTTGAAGGTCTAGAGCAGTGTTCCCCAATCCGGTCCCTTGTGTGGTCTGTATATGTGGACTGCCTGATAGGGAGCTTGGAGGGAGCAAAAACACGGACCGGCTGTGGGTCCTCGAGGAACGGATTGGCAAACACTGCTCTACACACATCTTGTATGGGCAGTTTCCCCCCCCCCCCTATAACCAGCTGCTCAATTCCATATATTCAGGCACTTTTTTTTTGATCCAAAGGTCCTAAGACTACTTAACAGGCTACATTTACATTGCGCTATAATAATAAAACTGCTAAAGTGTGACTGTTATATAATGGTCTTTGGACTGAGGCAGGAATTTGTAGCACCCAAAGGAAAACTGTGTAACACAGGGAGAACAGGCAAAGACACACACACACACACAGACCTGTAACCTTTGTGGGGACCGTCCATTAATTTCTATGGACAAAACCCTAATCCTGACAATGATGACCTTAACCCCCCCCAGCCCTGGAGGCGTGAGGCAGCAGCATCAGGCACTGAGCCACTGAGCCACTGTGCCGCCTGATAAAAGGACTAATGCGACTCAGTATTAATGTGTCTCATATTAAGGATGCTGTGGGAATGAAGGAAGATTAAAGGGCATGGAATTAAGGTCCTTTCATTCACCTCAAGACAATTATTAACAATATCCTCTCTGTCTCTGCAGCCTGGAAGGGCAGACCACAGTCTCAGATCATGTGACCTCATTTGCAGACCTGTTCAACCCCTCACTGAAGTGGAAATGGCTTCAGGGCCCAAAGAAAGATCAGTCTACACACACACACACACACGCACACACACACACACACACATACATATATATCTACTGTATATATATATTTCTCTCAGAGACCTTTCAGTTTTAGGGCTGCTTTAGTTTCGGAGGGTAACTCTCACACCAAGACCTGTATTGCTCTGTTATAGATTAAATGACAGAGCGAAGTGAAGGCTGCTGTGGAAAATCACATTCCCAGTCTTCCCAGTACAAAAAGCACCAGCAATATCAAAGCCTTGTCTAAGCAGGGATAAGATTCTGCAAAGACGACTGCATAAAGCAGGAGAAACGGAAAATAATATCAAAATGCAGCTACCGTGCACAGATGGGCAGTGAAAGGATAAATGATTTGACTCCTAGTATGTTATAGAAAAGAAAAATATACTTCACAATCACCCTTAACTACTCTGACTTCTGGCTTGGATTTCTGACTAAATATAAATGGTCAAAAATGCTTTGACTGTTTACCTCTTAATCAAGAGCAGAGCTCTTCAGTGTTACGACCCTATCGAGGGTCGGACCGTGTCATACGGAGAGAGATAAATAGTAAAGCGAATGCGATGATTTACTGTGGCTGGTTGGTGAGAAGACAAGCATTTACAATATTTGCACATCTGTTACACATCTGCACAAAAGGTACAAACGTGGTTGAGCAACACGAGACAGGTAGGCAAGCGACTATCATTTATTTTGCGAAACAAATACACAGCGATCGACAAAACACAACACAGCGCACAAAAACCGAATCATGGAACAGAAGCGATTCAACATAATGACACCTGTATGATTCGTAATTAAATAAATCAGCACCAAGGAAACAGGTATGATTTTCCTTGCATGTAAAGGGCAGAATGAAGTCACTCACCGGACACGGGGGTTAGGGAGGTGGGTGGCAGCCCGTTCATGCTGAGCGCCCCCACCTGGTGGATCTGAGTGGTGGGGAATGCCACACTGGGCGTCATGTAGCTGCCATGTGTGGCGGCCATGATGGCGGCCTGCTGCTGCATCAGCTACAGGAAGGAAGAGGAGGAGGAAGAGATGGAGACAGAGATGTTAATCACACGTTTCGGTGTCTCTCAAGCCTGACTCATACAGTACGTTGCTCCTCTCGCTGTCCTTGGTCTCAGTCACTTAGACTAGTGTTTCCCAACCCGGTCCTCGGGGACCCACAGACAGTCCACATTTTTGCATCCTCCGAGCTGCCTGCCAGACAGTCCACATTTTTGCTACTTCCAAGCTGCCTGCCAGGTAGCCCAAATTTTTGCATCCGCCAAGCTGCCTGCCAGGCAGTCCACATTTTTGCTCCCTCCGAGCTGCCTGCCAAGCATACCACATTTTTGCATCCTCCGAGCTGCCGGCCAGGCAGTCCACATTTTTGCTCCCTCTGAGCTGCCTGCCAGGCATTCCACATTTTTGCATCCTCCGAGCTGCCTGCCAGATGGTCCACATTTTTGCTCCCTCCGAGCTGCTGGCCAGGCAGTCCACATTTTTGCTCCCTCCCAACTCCAGCAAAAACGTGGACTGTCTGGTAGGGAGCTCGGAGGGAGCAAAAATGCAGACTGTTTGGGGGTCCCCAAGGACCGGGTTAAGAAACGCCACCTTCGACGATCTGCTGGAAAGAAGAGTGCAGAACTAAAGCAGATGGTCATAAGCACATTGTGGAGGATTGGGCAGACCATCCGGCGGAAGCCAAGCCCCCTCCTGACAGCGATGCATCCGCGCCTGTGTGTGCATGTGGATTCAGTCTGGGGGCCAAAGTGTGTCCCTCCACCTACATGAATGCGCTTCCAGCAGCTGGTGATTTCCTGGGGATGACAGTCATTTTATTTGGCCTCGCGCATTATTTTTGCTACAAGGGAAGTCCGCTTTCTTTTTTTTTTTTTGGGGGGGGGGGCATGATTTATTTATTCTCTGACCGCAAGTAGACTTGGAATGTTTGCCATGGTCGGGAAAGTGGAATTGCCTTGGGCTCAGTTTTCATTACTGCGGCTGTAACCTTTTCTCTCTCTTAATAAAAACGGGATGGGGGGTAGAAATGGGGCCTCGCCCCCCCTCCACCCCCCCGGTCAACACACATGCAATTGCCTCTTTATCACATGGCAATTATCTTGGTGGCACTGAACCTCCGGCCACGACTCACTGAACTCTCACACGTGACCGTGAGGAGGTGGGGGTCACAGGGGTCAGGGGCGGGGGGCGGGGGGGCAGGGATGGGATCTCTTCTATCAATACTGGGCACTCTGCCAGAAAGTGACGGAGTTAGTGCAGAGAGCAGAGAGCTGCGTCTATCACAGCTTCTCCTGATGACCGTTCTGGGGCCGTTTGGTTCTTCTTTCCCATCGCTCTCCTTCATGCTGTACTTAAGCTCTTTGGCCTCTCCACTGCACTCAATCAAATATTCCTCCCCGAACCTAAAAGAAAAAAGGGCTCTTTATCAGATTTGGGAATCCTCCGCCGTACCGATTCAACTCTGAGAGAAGAACAGGAGGCCAATCAAGCACACGGCCGCAGACAGTCAGGAGAATCAGCGCAGGAAAGGCAATTCATTCTCCTCAGATCTGGTTCCAGAAACAAACCTCTCTGTGTTCAGTGCTCAAACAGAAGGCCTTCAAGACTGAGCAAAGTCACCAAAGCAAATTCTGTCCTGAATTAAATTATAGGATGTCATATAATGCAATATGCTATCCATCCATCCATCCATCCATACTTCCATCCATCCATCCCATGGTAAATAGATAGATAGATAGATAGATAGATAGATAGATAGATGGATAGATAGATGGATAGATAGAATGTGTATTTACATTATCACACCATGTACATATTGTACAGTTTTCTAGCACTTTCGATTAGATGCCAAACTACATTTTGTTGTCTGAGTAATTGTACTTTGCACAATGACAATAAAGCTGAATCGAATCTAATCATAGGGCACAAAATACGGGGGAATTCTAGCAATGGCCATTAGTCTAAGTTAGGTGTCCTATTATGGCAGGAAACTGGAGTATCTGGAGGTGGCTTATGCACATAAAGAGAGTGAGGGAGCGTAATCCGCTCTACAGATTATAAATGAGTTACAGGACGCTTTATGTAATCTGTAATCCTCGGATGTGTGTCATGAGAAAGGTTGGCCAACAGAGGGCAACAGTGGCCTGTTTTATCTCCCGAGTGCGGTAGCCCAGGCAGACGGCTGCCCTTTCCCTGCACATTAGGAGCTGCAGCTATTGCCATCCCCTGGGCTTGTGGGACTGAGCCATCTCTCCGGGTCCCGCACAATTCTGCTGGGTCTGAGCCGGTCGTGCTGCTCGACTGGGACCCAGACAGGTTAAACTGGACCCAATTTAAAAAGCATTGCTGATGGTACAATGCTCACATAACTCATATTTTAAGATAATCATTTGAAATCTCAGCACTGACTTTCCACACATTCCCATCATCTTAAGGGCAGGTGGTGTCGAACTCACATACAGATGTTATATATCAAAACAGTGTTACACAGCGTCTGAGAACTAGGCTGGTTTTAATTTGCATTGTCATTGTCCCCATACATTTATGATGCCACCAACCCACTCCAATCTGATTGAAGTCCAATTTGTATTTACAAGTCTAGCTTTATAACCCAGTTTTATGCATTTTCAGGCCCATACTTGTAAGAACCTACACCATCAACTTTACCATAAGATTGGTTTTCTCTAAACAATGTGCACAAAAGGACAAGGTATGTAGAAAGCCAGGACACAGGGAAAACATTATTACACTTATCATGAAAATGTTTATACATTGTTTGAGTAAAACAAAAAACACCTGCAGTAAAAATGAATGGATATGTACAGACTGATGCATTCAGTGAGCATAGCTTTCTAGTACGTTTTCATTGGCTTACTGCTCAATTGACATTATGACACATATCAGTCACTGGCGCTTATGATCAAAACAAAATCACAATTATCTCTGAAATCCGAGGTTTCAGGCCAACACTGCGAGCTAATACCCCTGTAGCACGTTGTCCACAGCTAAAAATTCATGTGCATGTCATGTCATTTACATCACATTTTAAGTCATGTGAACCAACCCCTGGATTAACCTGCAGGGGGCGCAAAAGAAACATAATTGTGCTGGTTGGGCCCACATCACAAAGGCTCCAGGGTCCATTTCATGGGGATATGGATGGAGAAAGTCTCCGCGGGGCTGTTTGGGACACCGTCTAAGGTAATACCCCCCCTCCCCCGCCCCCATCAGAAGTGTACAGAAATATGAACAGATGAAAGATGGCAGCAAAGAGATGGATGCTCGACCTGGCCGTCATTCTGCGTCAAGGCTGAAGTGACAGGTGTGAGGGGGCAGGCACATGACGACTCCCCCCCAGTGGAGGATGCGCTGATATCCCCAGACGGGGGTGAGCGCGGAGCGAAGGGGACGTACGATTTTGCGTGTTCCTCCCGTGAGCTACCACTACGGAGGCCAAACAGAAGCACGTTTTCCCTTTCCAGTGCTGCATCGGCGTGGAAAGCGGGAGGAGATAATGATGCAAACCAGAGCAGCAAAACAACGGGCTGAGTTTATGGACAAATAACAGCGGGACTTATGTGGCTGGAAAAGAATCATCGTACGGTAGATTAAGGGCCTCCAGAATGGCATGAGAACGGCATTCTGGGTAAAATTAATAAGTCAAAACTGAACACTTAATCTGATTATAACTGACACCCTCTCACACACATATTTATAAGCTTTACTCTTATTTTGCTAATTTTCTTTCTTATTGTCATAGTTTTATTCCACTAAATCACATAGATTTGACAAATAGAAAAATATGTTACTTAAATATCTACAGAAATAGAAGTTGGATGTGACAGGTATGTAATTACTAGCCAGTCATACAAAATGTGATGATCTGTCCCCCGCAAACGTCGCTATGAAGCCCTTTGAACGGGCCCTCCTGGGGGGCTTTGTGATTACTGAGCAGCACGGTTAAACTGACATGTGAACAGGGGTCAATTTCTGAGTATTTATGAAACAGCCAGTGTAATTATGGTAATGCGTCATTCAAAGGCTCTTTCAAAACACAGCTGACAAGGACATTGTGCGTGACCATTCATTTTTCTTTCATTTTAACAAACATGAAGAGTCATTTTTCATAGTGAAATACTAGAGCAGAAACTAGGAAGACATTATGAAGACCTTGAGGCCAGTGAGGGAGTGGTGTGCGGAGGGTGGGGGTGCTTGTTAAGGGGGAGTGACTACCCACAATGCTCTGCTCCCCACTCTGGCCTCCATTGTGTGAGAGGGTGTGTGACCGAACAATATTACAGCTATTCTGGGCTGCTCAGCCTACATGATTAAACCCTGTCAGTGTATATGTGTGTGTGTGTGTGTATGTGTGTGAGTACGTGTGTGTGTGTGTGTCTGTACACATATACATTAACTCACAGCAGAAGGAGCTGAAGTATTTATTGCTATCTGAAGGGCACCTGCTCTGGAAGCCATTCTGCTTCTAAAAGCTGCAGCGCCTGTGGGACAGGAAGCCCTGAAGGAGGCCGATGGTTTTATTGGGCGACCCTCATCGCTCTGTCACTGTCATTCCATCTTGGCCTTGGATGCACAAGTCGCGGCGAGGAGGAGCGTGGGGACGTGGAGCAATAAAGTATGGTGTGAGACAGGGCGGTGAGGGACGGGGGCGGGGCCACAAGTGCACTGGCACCAGCTTAAAGCTGATTGGCCACCGGCGTGCCCCTTCCCCTGTCGCTCATCGATTCAAAACAAATAATTGGTTAATGATAAGGTTGGCTACTGTGTATGAATTATGGCCCCTATTGTTTCCCACACCTTAAAAAAATCCAAGAATCGCCCCTGTCGAGTGATTGAAATGGGGTAGTCTGGGAGTATTGTCTTAGTAAGACAGGGAGTGGCCATTTTGGTGAGTAGGGTGGTGCCGGTGGGGGCGGGGCGGACTTACAGCGTTGGCGTAGCTGCTGTAGGTGCTGAAGGGCAGGGCAATAGCCGGGTTGAAGATGCCGAACTGGCCGACCATCTGCTGCATGCGACGGATGGTGCGCTCCTTGTCTGTGTCGGCGAACTTCACCACCAGACTGGAGGAAGCACCCTGGCAGGAGTAGCAGATTAGTATCTCGCTCCTGCCACGTCCAGAGCCTCGTGGCCGCACTCCCAGTCAGCGATATTCGCAGCCACACTCACCCCCACTTAGCAATATCCACAGCTACATTCACTCCCAGTCAGCTTCAGTCACGATACAGAGGAAGAATTCTACGTTCTAGGATTCCTAGAACATCAGGTAGATTTTATACAATAGCTTTTTAATTTTTCAGGAAATAGACCTGAGCTAGGAACCCCCCCCCTACTGCTAACGTATGATCACTAACTAACCAACTAACTAACTAACTAACTAACTAATGTGCTGGGCAGGGTTGGCTTGAGTAATTTTTTTCTCTTCCTTTATCACAGTGAGCAAAAACGTGGGCTGTCTGGGGGTCCCTGGGGACCGGGTTGGGAAACCCCGCTTTATCACTTTATAATACGTCTCTGCAGACCCCCTGCAGCTGCTCTACAGACCCCCAGGGGGGTCAGAGACACCAGGCTGGAAACCCCTGTCATAGAACATTTCCTTGAGTATCCAGTGGCATCTTAATTAGCACAGATAGTATATTATCTGTTGGTTTGCAAGCTGTACCGTTCAACGGATTTTCCTCCAGCGCGTAAAACATAGGAGCCGCTCTACAATAATTACAGAACACTTCCCTTGAAGTGCATTATTAACACTTGTTTCAAAGATGATTACCATAATTGCTCAATTAATCAAACACATGAATAATGTTGTGTGCAAATACTGAGAGCGGCACTGCCTGGTTCCCACCTGCCCCTCTTTCCTGATACTGACTGGTTTCGATTTGCATCACAACGTGACCTAGAGCAAAAACTGCAAGTGAAGGGGATTTTTTTCTTTTCTTTTTGCAATCGTGTGTTTAGCAATGATACATTTCAGAACTTCATCTGAGAAAATATAGTATTTGTGATAAACTGGCATTCTGTCTAGGATTTCCAGGGATAAGCTCCAGGTTCTCCATAACCCTGCACTCAATAAGCAGTTATAGAGAAAAGGTGGATAGAGCAATGACTGGATATGAAGAAATATAAAGTGTAAAACACTGGGACATCATTATTTTATTTATTTGTTTATATATATCACCTTAGAAACAACCAGAAAAACGTAAAACATTCATTTCAAGTAGTAATGTATTGAAACCTAAATTATAGCTCCGAAAGAACTGTTCTGATTTATAAGTTCACTGGCAAGCAGTCTCATTGGGTGCTTTTTAATTAGTAACACTTTTACAGTAACATAAAACACCAAACATTTGTGTTTAGTATCCTTTTGGGAGCCAGAGACTGCAATTACAATTAATAACAAAATGGCAAGAAGAGAACTGAATGAGTCAGTGAAGATTATGATGAGACTAAATAGAAAGAAAATGTGGAAAATATGTTGTGTGGATTATATGAAATGTGCAGGTTATACACACGCATGTAAATAATTATATATTATATATAACTGATTTTAAAATTCTGGTTATATTCAAATATGGTTCACACCTATGGACCACATACTGTATATTCTACTAAGCACATTTTAACTGATTTGTTCATGCATGTATGAATGCTTGATTTTTCAAAATTAAATGTCCTGCAATCTAAACCATTTTCTGCCACTTTATCTCTGCGCTTGGAGCTCAAAAATGTGTGTGTGTTCGGTGTCTGGGGAGGATCTGCCCATTTGTAGATACAAATTGTGGCAATAGAAACAGTGTTTGTCTGTGGTCATATGAAACAGCCGCAGCTTATATGAAACTACGATGAAAGCGGGTAACTTTTGTGGAGTTTTTTTTATATACCTGTTTTAAGAGGCAGTTGATTTCTAAATATCCACTTAATTCACAGTATGATTTTACTTGTGTTTAAAATGATTAATAAGTTACTTTAAGTTTCTTATCTTATATTAATTGCAAATATCTTATATCGTATAGAATCATATGTCAGTTTAACTGAGAAACGTGTACTATTTGTCATGCAAGGTAGAGATGCAATGAGAAGCTCTCATTGAATAGAAATAATAACAATATTTAATCAGTGGAAATAAAAGCTTTGCAAAATCAAGATTGCTTGAATACAATTCTGCAGTCCTTGCAATAAAAAGTTAATATTAAAAACAATTTGACATGCATGCATTAGATAAAGAGAAATGTAAAGGCAATGCCCAGAATTTTTTAGCAGAGTTACAGCACATGTATTTACAGTAGGTGCTTCTGTGTGCTTTCATGTGTGCACACGTGTGCATGTTTGCCTGTATGTTCTCACGATGTACTTACAGGCATGGTCTGGCTCCCGTGTAGCGCGCTGATCGCAGACTGAGCCTCAACATGTGTAGAAAACTTCACAAAGGCACAACCTGCAGGAACACACACACAGACCTGTGCTCATGTCTTTGTGGGGACCGTCCATTCATTTCTATGAGCAAAACCCTAATCCCAGCAATGACAACCTTAACCCCTTAACCAGCCCTAATCTTAACCCTAAGTAACCAAACAAAATACTAGTCTTTTGGCATTTTTAATTCATTGATTGCAATCACAGATTTTTATAAAATAGAATTTCCCCTTGTGGGGACCGAGAAAATGGTCCCTACAACGTTTGAATAACAGGTTTTTAATCACATTGTGGGGACATTTGGTCCCCATCATGTAATGTATATCTGACCCACACAGACTGTGATAAACACACAGCCTATAGGAACACACGGACACACAGGCAGAATGTCACAAAGCAGTCTGTCAAAACAGATACACAAATAGTTTTTCACACCACGGGCTGTATAGACACACACATTCACACGCATATCCAAAAAAATTAATTTACAGGGTATGGAACAGATGAGAAATGTAACATGCACATTACATTCCCAGTCACATATTTTCATATAACTCTGAAATTGTTTTGACATCCATTTTTTTTCCCCTTCGACTTTCATTTGACCGCAAATGACTGTGAGGCAGAGAGAGCTGTCACTTTGGCTGCGGGAATAATTCCACGGCAATTTTCGAGAAACGCTACTGGGGACCGTGTCGCGTAACGCCGTCTCCTGTAGCGCCGTCTCCCATAATGCCATTCCTGCCCTAGGGATCAAGGTGAAAAGTGCTGGGATCTCGCAGCCAAGCTGCTAATTCGGCCGCGGTCTCTCTGGAAAGTCATTCCGACGTGTTAGATGCAGCACTGAATCTGCAGATTGCATAAGTGCATCGCTCTCTTCCTGCATAAATCCGTCGGCTGGATCGGATACATGTTGGAGCTGTGTGTTTCTAATCCCTTGTTAAAGTGCAATTGTAAAACACATAAAACTTATTTAAACCACGCTGTGCATCATGCTGTCACTCATGGGAGTGGGATCTAATTCTTTGTAGCAGAAAAAGGTGGCTACAGCAGAGAAATAATGAAGATTTATGTCAGTGTTTTACTGCCTTGAAATCAGAGAAGATTAAGTAAGTGTACTTAGGACTTCAGCCAGAGGCACAGCAAGACTGACCTTTGCTGTTTCCGTCAGGACCTCTCAGGACAGTACACTCCTCGATGACTCCATACGGTTCAAACAGCCGGTACACATCCTCTTCAGTTTGCTGTTTGTTCAGCATTCCCACGAACAGCTTCCTATCTTCTGGAACAAGAAACAGGCAAGGGGTTAAACCTGCGTTTTTTTTTCTTTTTTTTTTTTTTCTCGAGCTTTCAAGCGTTGAAAATATATCAGTCTGGACAGTGGTCAGGAGCGTGAGACAGAACTTATCAGATGCCGGTACAGATAGCCCAACTGCAGAGCTAAATCCTGGAAGTTCTGGAGTTGCGGCGAGGCGGTTTTGCCCCCTGCCCAGTGCCTAGGCAAGCATTTCATGAAACATTCACTGGGTTTGTTTACACGCGTCCGCCCAAGGCAGACCGGGAGCCCCGCTGGTAGGGGTGGCTTGACCAAGTGCACCATCAGACACATGGTGAGCATTAGCTGGTGTACAACTAAACCGGACATCATCTTATTGCTGTGCAGAGGAAACTTTTCTATTCATTTTTTGCTCTCGGGTTGGCACCAAAGGAGTGGCACCCTCATCATCACAGACATGCCCCCCCGCCCCAGGCCCCATGGAATCTCAGCAAGACTCACAATCCCGAAGCCCTTTCTGACTCGGTCACCCCCTGCGGCACACAATATACCTCAGTGAGAACCACAGGGGGTACCAGTGTGCTCCAGGTAAGCAATGAGTATGGATCAAAAAGGGCCCTTTCAGTGTGACACCTGCCACAGCCTATCACTCATCCACACAGAGCAGTGAGTTGAAGCTGAATCTGAGATGTTGGTCTTAACTATAATATAAGTAGATTCCCACTGAGATACTGACCCATGCACCTTCAATCCTACCTGCAGTCCCACTTAAAAGTCTGCATTCACTTGCTTTCGATGCGCTTGTCTCTATTTTAGCTGTTATTCACCTTATAGTAAAAGGCCTCAGGGCAAAGAAGTAATATACTGAGAATGGAAGTGTTCAGCACCTCGAAATATTCTCGAATTTTAGACTCATCAAAATAGCCCCCTGTCGCTTCGATGACAGCATCGCAGACTCTTGGCTTTCTTTCAACCAGCTTCCAGATTTAGCCACCTGGAATGCTTCTCCAACAGTCCAGAAGAAGTTTCCACAAGATCCCGAACTAACTCCTTAGGGTTTAGGTCGAGGGGATTGTGGTGGCCAGGTCATCTGTTACAGCATTCCATATTCACTAGATAACACCTTCTACGTAACCTTGAGATGTGTGTCCAAACTTTTGTGTGATACTGTATAGGAAGCAGAACACACAATAGAATAAGCCATCCACCCACCCATCCATCCATCCATCCATCCATCCAGACTGATTACAATATATTTTCCTGAACTGTAATATTTTCTAATGGATTATAGCTCAAAAATCTGTCATAATGGAGGTCATCGAAGCCTAGCTTCTGGTATATAGATACCTCTGTTGCATTTCGCAGGCCTGTGTGTGAGTGTGTGAGAGTGTATTAATCCCCGCCTCTCATGTGATTACACTGTACTTCACACGCTTTTCACATCACCCACAAACGCACGAATCAGGTCAAGTATCACAGGAAGGTATTCCTTTTGTTTCACAATTAATTTGTTCTTGGCTTAGACACGGCGAAGGCAATTTTCAGTGTGAAAATAACCACCGTACACTTGCAAGTGAAGCAACAAACTTGAGAAAATTTACACTGATGTGAGATGATCAGAACTTCATAAGAATCAGCCAAAACAGAAGAAATGACAGTTCCTAGCTTTATATCACGACCGATTTGGGCAGCGTTAGCAGTTTATCAAACGCACGTCGAGGGGGGAGTGCGCCGAGGCATTTTCCCCGTTAACGATTTTTCATTCTAAGAACATTCACCGAATGTTATGATTACGGTACGGAAATGTTCATAATGTCCAGTTTTCCTGATGCTCACAGAATGTTATCCCACTACCACAACTAAGATTAATAACACAAAATTCAACAAAGGGCATTGATGGGGCAGCAGGTAATACTGTTTGTTTGCACCTTAAAGATCATGGGTCCAAGCCTGGATGGTGCATTCACAGTAGACACGTATAGCACTTTTATAAAATAATGTTTTAGTATAAAACAATATTTTTCAAGATGAAGTGCATGATAAAGATGCTCATGTAGATCAAAACTGAACTTAGCTTTGATCTGACAAAGACCCGTCCAGGACAGGCAAACTGAATGTCTCCTACCTTGGTCTCCAGCCACCCATTCATTGCACTGAAAAGTCCCATTTGCATTCATTATGTGTACAGTATCCATATTTATTCAATAATGTCAGAAACTGCTGGCATGCCTGTCCTTCCTGCACCTTTTACTCGCAAAACTGCAATTGCTAAGAGTGTTGAGCCACAAACATGCTGTATAGGGTAAAGTTGCAGACATAATAAATAAATAACCCATATAGATACGCATTAAAGCGTGTCAGAGTTTTTTGTGATCCCACATTAACTCAACCTGACTTCCCAAAGCAGTGTTAAAGGCTGAAAGGCTCCTTAGAATTTTATAGCCATGCTCGTGTGTAGGAAAGCTCAGGAATTCATCACGACGTCTGCAGCCTGAAAAGGCACCTCAGATGTTACACAGAAGTCGACTTCTCCAGCAGAGCCCTTTCGCTCTCCCCAAAGCTGCCACGTGGGCATTTGTTCCGTGCCTTATAAATTCCACGTCGATAGTTTCATTCATAATTGCTTTTGTTGAATTATGCTGTTGAATTTTGCACCCACCCTCAGATCTCCTGTGCTTTACCAGGCTTCCCTTGCAAAGCTTAACTGCTTTCTGGGTGCGAATGTCCCAAAGAGGAGAACCTCAAAAAGTCAACACCATGTTAAAGAGGAGTTTCTGATAAAACCTGTGCTCCTTGTATATGGGTCATTCATGCACATCAAATTTCTCAAATTTTTAAAATTAGTTTGAAGACAGACTGAAATTATACAACTTCATTGCCTAATCTGTCTATTTTTACTCTGGGGTAGTTGATCAGTTTTACTATAAAGATGACCCTTCTGCATCATGACTTTCCCCATTGTGGTTTCGATACATCATGGGGTCGGCGTAACACACGGAATAGGGAGTTCTGCAAAAGCTGCAGACGACACGCGACGGCCAGCAGACGACACACAAAAAGTTTAGTGACTCATAAATGCAGAAAATATAGGTACAGTGCTGGTTTGGAGGACGCCAAGTGTGTTTACGGCGGCTTCTCACATGAAATATCACAATGATCTTTATATCTCGCATTTAGCTTTACTCCCCTCACCAAGCAGACCAAGGGAACCAAAAGATTTTATGCAGTTTTTCCAGATCATGGGGAGCCTGTATTACCATTGATTTCTGTAATAAACAAAAGTATTTCACCAAATCCTAGGCAAGAGCTACAGATATGAGGAAAGAAAAATGACAAAAATAACAAAAAATGTGGGTTACATGCAGTAAAGTTGAAAGATGTATAAACATTTCATCTAGTTTTGCATTATTTGACCTTAGAACTGTTACTGTAGAGATTTTTGGCTACTTATTTGGAGAAACTGGTTGGAAAATCATTAAATCAGAGCCAAAAATGGCTTAATTTGAACATATCTAAAAAGTTAAAATAATGTCAATTATTCTACACAGAACAACAGACACTGTGTTTCATTGTAATTTGAAATTTTATATATATATTAATTCTCAGGTTCATGAGAATGACTGAAAACAACGTAATGATGAAGACAGAGGAGTCCTGCCCTAGGCATTTTCAGTGGAGAGTGCAGAACCCAGAGGGCTTATAGTCCTCAGATTCTTCTGCAGCAGTAAAGCCCTGAATGAGTAACTAACACATGTAGTTCAAGTCCCTAGGAGCAAGAATCGTGCCTGAGCGCAGGGTCTGACCAGAATCACTGGCTGAAATGCTGACAGTTGAAACTTACCAGCTGAATACTGAATACTTTGTCCCCCATCAAGGTACTATGACAAGACTGTTTTAACTTTGGGGACACTTAGCTGAATATATAATGAAAAACCTGCACGAAGAATGATATTTAGGAGGTTCCCAAATGGGCGCAGTCGTGTTGCCACAGTGTTGTCATTGAAACACTTTCTGTCACTTTTATTCTATGTAGTTTACGCTCAGATTCTTCAGTTGCGGTGCAGAGTCTGGGGATGCAATGTTACAGAAAAACTGAAAACGGGGATGAAAGGGTGAAATTACTATGCAAATCCCCACTCTGGGAATCTTATAAGCTTCTCAGCTTGGTTCATGTGAGAAAGAAACACAAGGTTCTCCATGAAATTAAAAGTAAAATGAATTATGGTCATACAGCTGTATGTTAGTCTAATTTCCATTGAATATGGTTCATGAGTTGTCAGTGGATTAGGGCAAGGTAATTACACCAGCTTCCTAAATCTTTGTTTGCCAAATATTAATTTATCTACCCAAACAGTAACTGATGACCGAAGTTGGCTTTTATGCATTTCACACATTTATCATTTTCCCGCCAAATTTTCTTCAGAGTTTGTCTTCTGAGTCCAGTTAATGATATGCAAGCGGATTCCAGGCCTGATACCATCACGACACGAGACTCCAAGGCATCTTCCTGGGTTAAAGCCTATAAAGTAAGAGTCCATGTGGATGACAGTTCCTCCAGCTTTGGAATTCTTGACTGAAAGTGTGAAGCTTTTATGTTGAAAGGTTACAAATCAAGAATAAAAGTGGGGCTAGAGCTGTAAAGCTCTTAAAGGGTGATCTTTTATGAGTTTCCAGAGTCTGAAAGAGAACTTAAACCTGTCCTTGGAAGTAAATGAATCACCCCCTTTAGCAAAGGGGGCTGGGGAGACGAGGGTAAGAAAAAAACTGTTTAATCTTCACAAATCCCCATCAGGGCCTGTCAGCGCCTCTGCTTTATGAGTTTAAGGGTGATTCTGACGTCCACTTTAAGCCAAAGCTGTGTTTCCAACATCCACTGGTAACACTGGCCCAGAATGGCGATGTGGTTCAACTGAAGTTGGTGCAGAGAGCTAAGAGACCAGTGATTTCACATTTTATTTATCAGATTATTCCATCTATTTAGCCTTCATCCAAAGTGATGTGCAGGC